ATGGCATAGAAGAACTAGAGGGGGTGCACTGCTAAGTGAAATGAACGGCTTAGCTATTTAGCGCCATAAAGGGGCTTTTTTTTTTTTAACCTGAAGATAGCACTGTGAAAGCTCATCTCAAGCAGGGACGTGTGATGATGTTGTTTGTGCCGTGGTTTAAGTAGAGTTTTGGGAATTGTTACATCCTCGCTTTAGAAAGTAAACAAAAACGGTAAAGAAAGCTAAAAATTGTTACGATGCCTCTCATTGGTGGGGTCTGACTATATTGAACTTGCTGTGTAGTATATTTCTTATGTCAATCCATATGATTCTGCCCACAACAAAGTTTATACATAGCACACAGGCTGGCCCACAGCACCAGCTCAACACAAAAAGAATAAGAGGGGGACTGTTAGAGAGCAGATTGTTGGTATTTTTTCTTTTTAACTTTAAATATATATACAGAGAACAAACTGTCATGAAACAGTAAAAAGCCTTCCTTATAAGAGCACTACTGTGCCAGGCTTAAAAACAAATGAGAAATTACATCTCATTTAATGTGGTTTGATGGTTGTGAACAAATTTTAAAGTCATAAAACTAATTCATAAATGCCAAGCATAGTTTTCTGTGTATATATTGTACACATGCTAAAAACAAAGTGGCAAAATGGCGGCCTGCTATCCCTCCAAAGCCACAAATATGACAAAATGACCACATCACACAAAGATCTCCAACGCCAGCGTTGAGCAGTTCTCGGAGGAAACTGAAGAAACGGAGCACAAACCACAGATTTCTCTGGACCTTAAACCCGTCTATTTGTAGCACTCAACCAGAACAGCTGTAGTCACTGTAAACTGCACTGAAACCTTTTGATAAGGCATTATCTGGTCGGCCACTTGATGATCAATGTTATCTTTTTCGGCCTTTTTTCCTGGATCCAGTACTCTTGTTTTTTCTCTTTCTTTTTCTTTTTCTAGCCTCTTGCCTGGTACAGAGACTATATTTGGATCTCCAGTGCTCTACCAATAGTACTTCTGTCACATGGCAGTCACAAAGCACTCAGTAATTATAACCTAGCTGGGTTTCTGCAAGGAAGGCTGACTAAAAATACTCTCATATTGTTGCAGCAATGGGGCAAAAAAGCTGGAGAATTTTAAAAGGCTTTGCCTGTATTTTTGCGTGTCTGTGTGTGAGGGAGGAACACTTTAACATATACTGCGCCGTCTCAAATAACGGTGCAGTGCAGTGGGCTTTACTGGTTGTGTTTCTCGTCTCCAGAGAAGCGCTAATTGGTAAATAATATAATTAATTGTGTAATATGATGGGTGTGCTTCATGTTGTATGACTTCAGAGCCAGGACAAAAAGTAAACGCTGTGCTCTAAACCACAGATTCGTGTTTTCTCTCTCTCAGCGCTTATTTTTATTTATCCGTCACATCTTTGTGTTTATTTAAAATCATGTTTTGTCTGTTATTGTACTCAAAGTGAACTTGATTATTTTCTTGATCACTAACCTGGCGTTATTTTGGTAATTGAGTATTTCTGAATGTGTGAATTGGATAATTTATAGTTGACAGGTGAAATTGTTTAAAATATTGAATAAATGATAAGTGATATGTACTTAAATGCATAATATATTGTGTAACACGCGCAAACACGTCAACCGAAAAGGTGACAGACTTATGGAAAACATGAGTATTCTGGTTTTAGATGATAAAGCATGTTTGAATGATGCTTTTGAAGGAGCTTAAAATGTAAGAAATATTGAAGAGGAATTGACGAGAGCCTTTAAATTCACAATTCACAACTTGTAACATTAATCACAGTTATAAAATAAAGCAAAAAAAACCTCGATGCAAGTCAGCTTCATACTTTTTATCAGCTATTTGAGTTTGAATATTTTGAGTTTTTTTTTTAAATTTTTTTTATCACAAATCTTTGTTACATCATCTCAGGTTCTAGGACTTTGATTCATCACCATATTCTGACATTTCATAGAGGAAACAATTAATGCAGCAGACTAACCACTAAGAAAAGTGTGAGTCTGAGACCTGATCTCATGAAATGTTCACGCTGAATTGGCTTCCTACCTGATGAAACATTTTCAGAAGCCCACATTGTTTACAGAGTCTGGTTGGGGTTTTTTTGTGTGTGTTTTGCTGCCCATTTGTCTGTAATTGCCTTTGTGCATCATTGACCTCTATACTCGTCAGAAATAACTTAAAATTAAATTCTCATTGCTACGACCCCAGCTCCCCAGGGGAAGGGAAACATTAACAACCACTTGAAAATGGGTTTGGGGAAAATTATCATCTTTTACTGAGTTGAAGTCTACAGAAATAATATAGCTAAGCGGAAAATAAAAATAGGACAAGCTAAAGGCAGCAAGAGCTGCTAAAAATAATCATAACCAAAAGAGACTCTTACCTTAGGTTATTTTCAGCTTCCTGCTAAAACCATATAACAAAATAAACAAAAACACTAGTTTTACTTGTCTTCACAAACTCCTCAAACTGAACACAAGATGATGTGGATTTTATTGTTTACTTGTTTTTTTTTTTTTTTTCCTTTCCTGGGAAACGCTGGCCAGTTTTGTTTATTCAGGACTCAAACCACTAACATTATACACATAATAGAATTATAGACAAAGAGATGGTAGATGCAGGGAGACACGTAACCATACAAGATGTAAGACAGAAAATCCCACATGGATTGTGACGTTTCGTTACAAAGCAAACCATGTCCATAAACGTCTCTGGTGTATGTGTCAGGTCTGTAAAGATGATTTTCAGGCTGAATTGAATGTCTAAAACGTGTATTCACGTTCACCTTCAAAGGTCAGGTTGTAAATCAAAGACATTAAAGAATTGTGGGAATTTTACATGCTGGATTAGAGTGTTGATCCAATGGAGAGGAAGGGTAGTAAAATAATAAAAGGACAATTTTTAGATCCCAACTCAGGCTATGGTAATGTGTCCTGAGCACTTCATCTGTTACTTACTTAAATATTGCATAATTAAAACGGCACAAAAAGAAATTACATTACATACATGTATTTTGGACGTCAAATGCGATGTATAACCGGCTGATTTTGGACAGCATTTTTATTTTATTTTTTTAAAAATAATGATGGCGTCTTTGGTTTCCAAGTGAACTGCTAGAGTTAATTTCAAATGTGACCTTCCTTTTCTCTGTACTGCATATGTTAAACGTAATCATCCTGCAAGCGTATTTACTGTTCATGTATATGTATTTACTGTGAGAAAGTGGAGTGCTCTTTCAAAAATAGCCTTACTTCTCCTTTTTTGTGGGCAGAAACAGTTGGTGTGATGAAAACATTGTTGTCGGAGCACATGAGCAGCGTCTCTGTTATCTAATGGTTCATAATAGAGCATTCATTCTCGGTTATTTAATTCTCATTGGGTGTGTTAGGTGTGCTACTTGTAGGGCTGAAGTGAAAATGAACTGACTACAAAAACTCTAAACCTGAACGCGGATCTTCTGACGCTTTGGGTTTCCTGTGCACCGCAGCCGTGTTGGCTGTCTTGTGATAATGTGAAGCTGGCGAGCGTTTGGGTAGAAAATGAAGGATGTGAGGGGGAGCCTGTTTGGTCCACATCTGTGTCCTACTTACTAGAATCACTCACCAGCTTCAGATGTAGATGAGGAAACTTTGTAAGATGTACACACTTTTATCCCCTCTGCTCTGACAGACACTTTGTACCATTCTTTCTATAAAATGTGTCTGCCATATGGCATGGCTGTGACCTGGAGCACTTTGGATTTAATTTGAAATAAAGCAGGGTGATGGAGATTCAGATGTTCTCTTCCTGATGGAGTAATCAATCAGGTGATGGAATAATATGCTTTTTGGGAAAGTGACATTTTCAGTTGTTTAAATTGTTTAACCCATAGTCCTCCAAAATAATAATAGAAATATTATAGTTTGCTGCCCCTCCCTGAACCTGGTTCTGCTGGAGGTTTCTTCCTGTTACAAGAGAGTTTTTCCTCTTGTAACTTTTTAAAAAACTTTTTAAATTGTTGTCACTTTACTTTAGGAAAGTAAATAATCATTAAATCATATAAACTGTGTGCGAGAGAGCGCAGTTTATAGCTCTTTTTTTTTTTTTTTTGCAAGTAACATGAATTTTGTGCAGTAAGCACATTTGTATTGTAAAAAGCATTTTTGCTTTGTGCCCTGTTGTTGGTTAATTTCTTACCCTGTCATTCAGTGTTGCTTAATAGTAAAGCTGTTAACAACAGCAAGCTAGATATCAGTGAATCCGTGCTAAAAAGAATAATGTTGAAATATTAACAGCTGATCTATACATTTGGCTCGTGGTTCTTAATAACATTGCGCCTTGTCTTTTCAAATACCCGTGGTGTATTTTAAATGTATCATGGCCCTTGGACCGGCCTTGCTGGAGTCTTTTCATGATGTGATCCAGATGATCCAGGGGCCTGCGTGACCATGTGTCCCCAGCCTCGGTGTCCTCATCCTGCCTGCTGTGCTGCAGAGAGGCCCAGCTGCTGCTGCTACCGCTGCACATGCTCTCTCAGTAGTGAAGAGATGGCAACAGCAAGCTGTCTAACCTCCACAGTAACCGCCTTATGTAATCACTCTGGCTAGAGACAGACCAAAATAGCCCAGACTGAGCAGGCCTGCCCTCTTGTGGCATACAGCTGCCTTAACACCGGCCTAGCAGGCCTAAAACAGGAGTCAGACATGGCAGCCGTTTCCTGCAGCATTCAGTGTAGTATGTAAATATTTTAATGTACTGCACAGATATAGCAAAATGCATTATGTGCCATTTGTAGTTTCCAGCTGATCAGATCTGGAGTTATACTTTTGGGTTAGTTCAGTGAAGACGACGTATTTATGAAAACAATGGTCAATTATTTTATAGTTTTACAGTTTAGTGACTTTACATTTTGTATGTTGATGACTCTTTCCGCAGCACATACAAAATGGTTGGAAGACAAACAAACTTTAACTACTCTTCTGTTCCCTCCTTTGCAGTTTCCTGGACAGAATTGATTCTGTAAGACAGAGCGACTACACGCCAACAGACCAGGTCAGTTCTCCTGCCAGTGTACTCGGTATTAAATGTATAAATCACCAGCAAAACCCTGCCTACTGTTTTTCTTTCTTTTTCCCCCCTCCTTTCCCTGAACTGCATGTTTTGTTTCTTTGTGTTCACTACGTGTAGGACCTGCTACGCTGCCGAGTGTTAACTTCAGGGATTTTCGAGACGAGGTTCCAAGTAGATAAAGTGAACTTTCAGTAAGTCTCTGCTTAACTTTAACAAGGACATAAACACACACATTGAAGACATGTTTGTCCCCATTTATTGTTTGCCAACTTTTGTAAACCCTGTTAGCAGCTTGTGTAGCCAGGAGGTAATAAGGCTACTTTGAAAAAAAAAAAGAGTCCAATTTGACATGGAAATTAAATAAAATAGTTGGGAACAGGGTTAAAATGGGACCTTTGGGGTTGACTGCACAAAGCTGATCCAAAAATCTGTGTTTCTAGATATTTGTCTATTTGATAAACAAAATGTATTTTATCTGTGAGTCAATAGAAAAAGGAAAGGTTTTATTTATTTATTTAAGTTTTCCTTTGGGTGAAGAGCCAAACTTTTTTGGGTGGGGCAAAATGCTTTGTATATAAGAAGAAAAAAGTCTGATTTTTAGGCAGAAAAACATGAAGCATGCCCGAACTAGTTGTGTAAACAGTACAGTCTTCCAGAAATGTTTCATCAGCTAAGAAACTATAGCCACATCCTACCGAACTAACTGAACAGCACACCAGGATTCAACATAACCGTAACCATCTGATGGCCCGTTAAAAAGTAGGCTGGGAAGTTGATCAGCAGTTGCCAGCAGTATTTTCACATTAGTTGGTTTAAATATGAAGGAAAGCTGTTTTTTGGGGTGGGGGGGTTACACACTGATGCACACACAGCTCAGCTAACTTTAACTTTGAGTGTCGACAGCAACCACACCCCTCTACTGGGCCAAGCCTACAAAGGGACAAACGATTTACACTAATTATTTTCAGATTTGAATTATTATTATAAAATATAAATCTACTAGTAGATGATGCTATATTATCATAGATTATGGCAGCTGTAATCAGAGGAATTAAAGTGGCGCTACTGAAAATGTGTTCTGCCGGCTCTGGATATTGGTCTGGTTTTGTAACACAGATCTGGCAACCCTGACGTGTACATATAAATACCAGAAGGTCTCAGTTTTCATTGCCACATTCCTCTTTGTTTGTTGTTTGTTGGTTTTTGATGAGACGCCATTATAAAGTACTTATGGGAAGGATCAGTATTATCATTGTGTTTCCAGCTCATTCCATTATTTACACCCCTATGAACAAAATAATCACGAGCCCCGTATTCCTTCTAAAATTGGTTTATCTAATATTGCCTTTTATGCAGCAACTTTTCCGAACTCCACAGAATTGTGAAAATGAGCCCATCTAGGTGTTTTCCGGATTTCCAGTAATTTTCTTTTTTTAAAAAACATTGGACTGTGCCTCCTTGTTGAATCACTGCCCTCTTGGGTGTTATTGCTATATTTACTCTGGCCTCGTGTTAAGAGCCTCAAATGTCATAAGTTTGTTCCTTTGAACAAAACCCTGAGCCCACAACCTGCTCAGCAGCTGGAAGATGAGGTAGAAATGCACGTCATAGAGGTGACTAAAATGCAAAATGATTCCCCTGCGGTCGACCAGTGTGATTTCTGAGCCTGTTGCAAGTTATTTACTGTTGGTTACAGTTATTAGAGCAGCCGATAAAGGTTAGAGTAAATGTTTTGTAACAGCTTTGATGATGTCAGATGAGGTGACCCATTTCCGCAGTCGCAGACACAACAGTCTTATTCTACCATCTGAAATGGGCCTTTGTATCACATTATATCATCCTAAACGACTGGTTAAAAAAAGGTCTGGGTCATGACTTCCCTTTGGGTGTGCGTTTGTCATTATTCAGCTTTGATGATTCCCAAACATCCAGCCAGGGACACACAGACATTACAAATAATTTCGCCCTTCGTAACATTTATTAATTAATGGATTATTTATGCGTCCACAGCCGTTCCGTAAGTGTCAAGGATCTCTTTTTGCAAACCAGAAGCACATGTAATACGAGACAGAAACACGTCTTTTGTGAAGATTTTTAATTTTATTTTGAGTCTTTATCAGGACAATCTGTGAAACAAAACTGGTGTGTCAGTGCCATACAGTATGTACCTGATGCCCCCCAGTCCTGAGTGATATGAGCTCTTTGATCAGAAGAGGGCAGCAGCGAGTATCTGACCCATTACTGTCTCTTCCACAGCATGTTTGATGTTGGGGGCCAGAGAGATGAAAGGAGAAAATGGATTCAGTGCTTTAACGGTGAGACTTTTCCTCCTTGTTTTCCTTCAAATAGCCACACTGTACATCCTCGACCTGCAGCTCATTCTCCTCCCATTACATCCTGCCCGTCTTAAGGCATTTTCTCTCAGCTCCAGCATCCCGTCAGTTGCACAAGGACCAGTCCAAATCTTAAACTGGTATTGAAGAGCCTAGTCTTTTGACTTGTTTATAGTCAAATCTGAGCTGTCTCGTTTTTTGTTTTCCTTGACACAAAGTGCTCTTTTAGTCAGTTGTTTCTATTTTTAAATTTTCTCCTGGTTTTGGTTTGCATATTACTATAAATTTTGCTTTCCTTCTCACTGCGCTATTGTGTGTTTTTTTAAAGCTTGAATGTTAATACATTTCCCTTAACTGGAAAGCACTTTGTGTCCACTCCCGTAGTTTTGAATGCCATATAAATAAAGGTGATTTGACACGACTTGAATATACTCCTTAAGACCAGTGACGTCAAAATCTATCTCATGTTTTCTTCCAGACGTCACTGCGATCATCTTCGTGGTGGCCAGCAGCAGCTACAACATGGTAATAAGGGAAGACAATAACACCAACAGGCTACGGGAAGCTCTGGACCTCTTCCGCAGTATTTGGAACAACAGGTGAGTCCCTATTTGTTGTGGGTTTTTTTGTTTTTTTAACTCAAAATGTTAGAAAATGCTCACTTTCCTTTCGCAATGAGAGAGAAGGCCCACATAAGGCTTAAAAAGTAGTAAATATAAGTAAATAAAACCTGCTTCTGTCTCACCTTTATCGTGATGTGTGTAAATGACTGTCAGCTTTATCTTTGAAAATCCCAAAATTTCCACGACTGAAGGGTAAAGCTTGTGCAGTTTCTTTAATGGTGTTTTTTTTTCTTTTGTTTGTTTGTTTTCAGATGGTTACGCACTATATCTGTCATATTATTCCTGAACAAGCAGGACATGCTGGCTGAGAAAGTACTAGCTGGAAAATCCAAAATTGAAGACTACTTCCCTGAATATGCTCGCTACACCATACCAAATGAAGGTTTGTTCCTTTCCTAGTGCATCTGGCTCGTCTATGTCCAGACAGACTTTTGAATTCCTCGTATCGTCTGTATTAACGTTAAATTTCTTTTTCTTTTTTTCTTTTTTTTTTTTAGCAACTCCTGAACCCGGTGAAGACCCGAGAGTGACGAGAGCCAAGTTCTTCATCCGAGACGAGTTTCTTGTAAGTGTATCAGCGTATGTCTGAAGTGAGCTGAAGTCAATCAGTGTCCAGCCACGAATACACTTGTCCTGTTAATTCATAACTTAGTATTTTACACACGTACCTGTAATCCCAGCTGGGCCTGTTATGTTGCTTTGAACCTGATGAACCTTTTCTGGTGGTCCGACCTCCTTGTGGGGACAAGTTGTCCGCAGATGCGCAACGCTGATTTCAGCAGGTACTACTGCTGCTACGAGTCCTGCCGCTGATCGCGAAACACCTTCTGTAGGGTTAAAAATTAAATTCGGTTGCATTTGTTTTTACTATAAATGGCTGTAACGAAGCTGTTTTTGCATGACCTTTTTTGTATACACTCTGTAGTCACAAATAATCTTTAAGACACAGATAACATTATTATACAGATTATAACTTTATTAGTAGAACTTAATGCTGCAGCAATAACTTGAAGCATTTAGTTGAGGAAGTGAGGTGGTTACATCTGTTCTTGGTGTTTGAATGTGAGCTGTTCTGTGGCTGAATTTCTTTCTTTCATATCAAAATAGTGACTCCAGCGTTTCAGTTTAATAGTGACCAATGTTGTTCTTATTTAGTGGGTAGAACAAATATGGGTCTAGTGTGGTTATCTGGCCAGTGTTTAACACGCTAGACACACTTATGGTCATGTAAGCTGTATTTAGGGACTGATTGCTCTAAAATTACTTGCCTCAGTTTCTAGTAATGACAGCGAGCTTGAAAGCTGTGAATTTCCCGGAAATAAATGCGTTATGATAGTATTCCTGTTACCTGGGACAGATACCTGGGAATATGTGTGACGGGAATCACGTACTCCAAATGTAGTGCACGTTTAGGAAGAATTATGCAAATTACAGACTTCCTCGTATCACAACTATGTTTTGGTGCACATTGGTGAAAGATGTCATTTTTACAGATGCAAACTTTTTACAAAAATGAAGACGAAAGAAGCGCGGCACAGTGTAACTGCACATAACTACTGAGCCACTTTGTCGTCAGGTAGAATAATATTTTAAGTGTGAATTGTTAGGGGAACCCCCTGCCCCCAGAGTGTTTTCATCAGCGTCTGATACACACATCAGTCAGAATTAAACTGTGGCAATCTATTCATGCCTGTGATGTGATATCTAACCCATAGAGGGCGCTAAAAATAAGAAGTTGAGAGGCCTTTATGTGTCAAAGTACTGAAAGTGCACAGAAAACTTAGAATAGCATTGGCTTTAGCACATTAATCTTAAATATGCTGAGCAATATTCAAGGTAAGAAGCAGGAAAAGCTAAATGCTTCAGCTGAATTGAATAATTTAAATAATATATAGTAAGGCGTGTGCTTTATTCAAAGATGAAATAAAACTATTTATCATCACATTTACAAACAAAAAGAAAACTGATGTGTGAAATTAAGAATGGTTAAAGGCCTGCTAAAGTCAGTCAAACCCAGTGGTGTTCAGAACAGGTGTGATCCAGATATTTTGAGTAAAATGACAGTGAAGTGCTCAGATGAGTCACAGTTTAAGCTGCAGAGGCAGGAAGTAGTGTGATTTTTAGGTGGGGATGGTGCTGTAAGAGCTTTTAGCTGTAAAGAAAAATCAAATAATGGGGAAGGGAAGAAACGAGAGCAGCAGATCTGAGAAACTGAGGGAACATCAGGGAGGCTAAACGTGTGCTCGTGGCGTGGAGGATGTGACGTGTCATGTCTGTGTCCTCCTCAGCGGATCAGCACTGCGAGCGGCGACGGCAGACACTACTGCTACCCCCACTTCACCTGCGCCGTTGACACAGAGAATATCCGGCGGGTGTTCAATGACTGCCGGGACATCATCCAGAGAATGCACCTGCGGCAGTACGAACTCTTGTGATGGGAGACCAACTCCGTCAGCCTTCTGTGTTTTTTTTTTTTGTTTTTTTTTCTCCACCATTCTGCAACCTTGACGAACCTTTTCTCCTGCTCCTCCCTGACTCTTCACCCCACATCCCCAGAAGAAACCCACCCCGACCGCCCCTCCTGTCGAGGACTACGAAGTACTACTGAAGTGTGTCAAATCCTCTTCCTCTTTTTAACTTCTTAGCTTTTTGTACTACTTTTTGTTTTCTCTCCGAGATTTCGTCCCCATTTCACAGATGTAAAAGGAAAGCTGGGGAACAAAGTTGATGTGTGCCGCTTCTTTTTTTTTTTCTTTCTTCTTCTTCTTTTAATCCTTCCTTTTTGAATGCCTTGATTTTTGTCATTCCACTAAGCCTTGGGCTACCTCCTTTTATTTTATTTTTTGCCCCTTTGTGTCCACTTTTTTTGGGCTTTGTCTTTGGACTTGGACTGGTGGGCGAGGACACATAAAACACACCTGGAGGACCTCAGTGCAGAGGCAGTATGTGTGTGTGTAATGAAGAGAGGGAGGAATGCCATGTGAATGAGTGTGTGTTTAACCGCCATGACCCCTCACCACCTCTTGTAATATTTTTTTTTTTTGGCCTGTCACCCCGCCCTCAGCCTCTCTGACCGCCTTCTTCTCCCCGCGTTGAAGATGGCTGGACGGAGAGGGAACCGAATGGATGAAGAGATAAATGCACTTTGCATCAGGTTCCTTAATAACTTTTTTTTTTTGTTGTTGTTGTCGGTGTTTTTTTGTTTTTGTTTTTTTTTTTCCAGAGGAAGCATACACACAATGTAGCATCACAATATTTATTATCCTGTCGCCCTGCTTGCCGAGCTGCAGGGCGGACCGAGCAGCCGAGAAGACGTGTGGAGCGAGAGATTAAAGATGGGAGGGGGGCAGAAATGACGGCGACTAGAAGACGGATTTTAATGAAGGAAAAGGGACTGAGCTCTCTGCACCTTAGCCCTGTTGCCTCCACGGACTCGGACCTGCCTCCTTTTTCCACACAAACCATCCTTTTAGCTTAGAGATACTGATGGGGAGGAGGGTGGGTGGGACGGGAGAGAAAAAAAATGTATTGTTTTGTTTTTGGTTTTGGTTTTTTGGGGGGGTTTTTGTTAACTTGTACACTGTGCAAGGTTGAATTATCCTGTACAGACTGTAAAATGTAATATTATTTTGTACAACTTAATTGAAAGAAAAACAAATCTACTTGTAGATCTTTGTGCCTTGATTATGGCTGTACCTGTAAATGAGCTCAGATGTAAGTATGTTTTCAACTGCGCTGTACAGCTTGATGTCAAACTCTATCGGCAGCGAAAGACTGCAGGTAGGGGACTTTCTCTGTAGAGTTTAGTTTTTTCTGGTTTATAAAAAAAAAAAGAAAAAAAAAGGAAATGCTGTTTAGTAAGAAATAAAAAATAGGGGAAAAATCCTAAAAACCTGTATACATTATGCAAATTAACCACTTACCTGCAGTGAAGACCAGATGTTGCAGCGCCATGCCTTTTTTTTTTTTTCGTTCTTTTATTTTTTTCGTTTTGTTTTCCCTCCTTTTATTATATATATTTTTTGAATTTCACAGCTTTAAACAAACATTTGAATTCCATTGAAAGTGTCCAAATTGCAACCTGGTGTTGTTTTAATAGGAACCAACGTTTTTTCGATATGAAGTGCGTGTGCGTACGCGCGCGTGTGAGCGATCCGTACTGATGTGCGTGCCTGTGCGCATGTGTACATAAAACAAACATAGACTCACAGATGCATTGTGTGAGTGTGTGTGTGTGTGTGTGTGTGTGTTGGAGAGCAAGTGTGTATGTGTGTATAAAATTTTATAAATGTATGTACATGTAAATTTATAGGTCTATATAAATATATATGTACAATTATACATGTTTAATTATGTGTGTGCCTAGGTGTACATACCTATGTATGTATACGGTAAATATGTATACATACACACATAGGAAAGCATGTTTAGAATGGAGATGAATAAATGAGAGCGTGCAATATTAGTAATTCTTTGGTCCTTTGGAGCCATACCCGATGGCACAGGCACTATGAATGTGTGAGCAGCACCCAACAAGACGAGCTCTTCTCCTTGTACAAACAGCATCAGCCTTTTCTTCTGCTACAGTACACGTCTACCCCCAACAGAGAGTGAACTGACTGGAGGTGCAAAAACCTTGTTTGGCCTGGGAGGATGATTAAATGACATTTTTATTTTCTTTAAATAAAGAGGCACATTAGAGGACTTTGCTTTATTTCCATCTTGGTGTCCAGTTGTGTCCGGATTTTCTTTATTCATTGGTGATTTTAAAAAAAAAAAAGAAAAAATGTGGGAGACCGAAACGACCAAAACAAACAAAAACAAAAAATGATTAGATAAGTAAATTAATATGCCATTAAATGCACCAAATATTGGGCGAGCATTTATAAAATGTGAAACTAATAAATACTTAATACTTGGTATAAATCTCTAACATTAAAATGGTATAAATGGCGATGGTCAGTATTTAATACTGCATCAAGTAAGTTTTAATTTGATTCTTTAAATGTTTACACGTGTGTCACTTTTCCACTTTATCTAATTTCCCATTGAATTTTGACTTTATACCCAATTTATTACTTTTAATATAATTTCTCATTTTCCTCACCCACAAATAGTTTTTCTATCGGTTATTATTTGTAATACAAAAGCAAATAAAGCAGAAATATTACTCGTCACATTCTACAAATTAATTTATATTTGATGCATTTCGGCCATGTTAATTTTAATTCCTTAGACAATAATTAATGAATTGATAAATATGCAAATTAATGCATCAGAAATAAGTTACAAGTTCTGCATAATTGTTTTCATGTGGTTCTGTTAGTTTTTTACAATTACATCGCCTTAACAATATTTTACTTTCTCGCATTAGTTATTAGTTTCGAAATCTGTTTACTTCTGTATTTTCTTCTGTATTTTTCATGCGTTTCAAAGTATAAATACAAAAGCAAATTAACCTAAATATCAATTTATGCCAATTGTTATGGATTTGTTAATACCTACATTTTTCATATTTCTTTCATGCATCTAAAGGCATGTAAGGGTTATTTAATTACTATAGTTGTTATTTTTGCTGTTTTGTTACTAATATTTGAAACTATTGTGAGGAGAGCGAAGCTGGGTACTTTCGGTATCTTTTTGTTTTTAACTTTGAGATGATCATGATAAACAGTTTTACCTGATTTTACAGTTCTGGTTGATTAAACTTCACAGAAGGCAGGTTCAGCTAATAAAGTTAATAATGGCTGGCTGTGTGTGCTAGGAGTGCATAGAATTGGACAACAATATTGTGCTAGTTCTGAGTTTTCATGTGACATTTTAAAAAATGTATTGTTACCATAAAACTGAAATCACACATTCAAAACCTGAAATGATTGATGATAAAAACTCGATCCACTTACTATGAAATAAGAACAAAGTGTTGAGAGAAGAGATGATTGAAATTTTAAATACTGATTTAAATCCGTGACATTAGTTGCCAAACTGTAAGTAAGAGATAAGAAGATGGTAAATATAAAGTTTTCTGTACTGAAGTTTTAAAGTTACTAATAAACCAGACATTCCTTCTTTTATGCTAATTAACAAATTCACAAATTAAAGAAGTCCAGGTGACTTCTTTTCAAGCTCTCAAGACTATCATATCCATGACTGAGAGCCTACACAGTCACACAACCATTTAAAAACAATTTGATCAGTCCGTAAGCTTATACACAAGTGGAAAACGTAGAACAGCTCTCAATCTTCCTAGGAGTGGACATTCCAGCAAACTCACCTCAGACGGTGCAATGACTCTCAGACTCTACAGGCATCATTTAGCAAGTTAAATGTTAAAGTTCATGACAGTACAATTAGAGTATGGCTCGTTTGGAGAGGATACCAGGAGAAAGCCTGGCAGCATGGCTGAGGTTTGCAAATGTGCATCTGAACAAACCACAGGATTTCTAGAACAATGTCCTGTCAACAGATGAAATCAAAGTGGACATTTGGCCATAAAGTACAGTGCCACGTCTGGCAGAAATAAAGCACAGCATAGTAGTACAAAGATCTCATTCAAGTGTAATGAAAAGCATCATGATGATGATTTCAGGCTTGTTTTGAAGCTACGGGACCCGGGCACCAGCAGTCATTAGGCTGACCAAGTCTGTATACCAAAGTATTCTAGAGTCAAAACCATCTTTTTAACCACAGCTAAAAAGATGAAACTGGGTCACAGTTAAGGTCTGTTCTATAGAATTTATAATCCAATCAATCAATAAATAGTGAATAATTTAATATAAAATAAACATAGTGGATTAATCCTGCACATTATTAAAGTAAAAAATGAAGGTACTTTCTTATACTGTTGCTAAAAGCTGTTTTCTCAGTTATAAAATGACTAAAATAAAAAACAACCAAGCAAACCAAATGCAAAAACCCCCAAATGAAAACAAATTTTGAACCGATTTTCTTATATTTTATTTCACATGAATCTGCAAACATAAAATATTTGTACCTATATATTAAGGATTTCGTCTGTCGCGTGTGATAACATCCTCCCTCGTCCACCAGAAAACTGTGAAACAGGCTTTAAGATTCTGATTATTTATTATGTACAGTTCATCAGAAACGTTCCAACGATTTGGCAAAAAACCTTCACAAACATTTGGCACAGAAAATCAGCAACAATATCTTTTTGTTTTTTCTCTGATATGCGTCATAAAAACAATGAGGAACCCGGATGGACTATCTGACATCGACGACAGAAACGAAGAGTGTTCAGAGTGAGATGATCAGTGTGCGTTCACATCGGCTCACAGGTAACATCAGAGAGAAGAGACTTAAAGCACCTTCACCACCTTAAACCAGACCAGGGACAGTTAGTATTTACATATTTACTCCTTTGATTTGTGCTACCCGTGCCACGCATGCGTACTTTCTCACTCAGCGGTGAAGTCAGTGACGGTTACTTTTCCTCCGAGGAAGTTAAAACTGATGATTTGTAAGAACAATTGGGCCTCCGTCACAGGCTCTAACATCACCATCACCATCAGTACCAGTAGTGATTAACTCTGAGTCCTTTAAAAACATTTAAAAATCATATAATGTCCTTCACAGTGCCTTTAAACACCCGGACAAACAAATCAAGGTTGTGCAAACAGATTTTTTTTTTTCTTGTCGTTATTTTTGGTCCACACAGAGCATCCTCACATCAACTTACACCAAATTACCAGCTTATGGCTCTGTCCCGGTGGGCTGTGGCTAATGTAGTTCACAGAGACTTGTGTTTCCCCAGCAGGCAGAGGCTGAGGCACTGCAGCAGGCCTTTCATCCACAGACAGTGAGCGAGGAACAGCAGCAGCAGGCAGGCGCCGGCCGAGCAGTAAACGCTGATCACCGTGCTCTCCTCCGGCAGGAAACACTTGGACAGCGTGTAACTGCTCGGTGACACCGTCGCCTGGGAGAAGAAAGGGGGGAGAAGTGAGAAATAACGTGAGTTAGAGGTGATGAGTAATGTTTATACTGGCAGAGGTGGCTGCTTAGAGCTCTTCGTCCACCAGAGGGCCTCCGAAGATTAAAAATAGGAGCTCATTTTGAGTTCCTTTCTTCCTATTTTTTTTTTTTTATCTGAATGAATCTGTTTTTTTTTATAGCCTGTAAACAAAGGAACAACAGATTCAACAGAATCTCACCTCAGCAGATTGTTTACTATATAATTAAACACTTTATTAAGAAACTATTTGTATGAAAGAAAAACATCAAATTTAGGCCACCTGATTCTAGCTCACTATTAAGTACTGCTGCCTGACATAAGGTGGTTTCGGGGAGTTTGCGTGTCCTCATTGTTCTGAATGTTTCTCTGTCACAGATATTGGACAAAATCATGTTAGTTTAATGCTATCTTTGTTTTCCTCTTAACTTTATTTTAAGAGTTTCTGCTTAAATCAAGTTCAAACAAAAGCCTCCAGAGCAGCAAAGGACAGAGCACATAGTCAGGGACATATTCTCACCTGGAATCAGGATTTTGTAGCTTCTGGGACTTTGAGTTTTTAAAAAGAAGAAACAGGATAATTTCTTTCTCATATATGTTGGAACAATAACTCAAACCTGAACTTTGAGGTGCTGGTTTGGTTTAATATGCCATTTGTCAGCTCAGGACACTCTCACAAAAAAGATTCAAAATCTTCACCTCCTTCCTTGGTGGAAGTGAAATTGATGCAAACGTGGTTGTGGATCACGGATCCGCGGCTGACAAATCTCCAGTAACTTTGTCATGCTGTCGTGCCAATTCGGATTGAAACCTCTGAAGAGTTTTTCCAGCACCTTGTTGAATCTAAACCATGAAGGCAGCCATGGAGTCAAAAGGGGGTTCAAATCACCACTACCCTAAGCAATCATTCATGCTCACATACACGCCTACAGCCCATTTAGATTCGAAACAGTGGCTGGATGTTGGGAGCTGAGGGTCATTTTGACTTGCAATGAATTAGAGCTGCATTTGATGAGCATAGCAACCTGTCCAGGGTGTACCCCACCTCTCGCCCCCATGACAGCTGGGACAGGTCCAGCCACCACAACAACTCTGAATAGTATAAGTAGAAGACAATGGATGGATGGATTTTCTATAGATATCTATAGTTGATATATGTATATTTCTTACCTCTATAACTGTGAAGTAAAACCTCATATTGTGCCAGATGTAGTTTGTAACCAACTGCTCAATCCCTATTGATTCTCCTGAGGGAAACATCTGGCACAGCTGCTAAATTCTCTGATGTGTTCATCAGCTAGTTGCTTACAGTGTTTGCATGCTCAGCAGTGGCTTTCAAAGTATATCTGCTGGGGCCAAAAACTACTGTACGCCACTGAGACTGAACCATAACAGTAAGGTTGTGCACTGGGCAGCTAAACAGAGACAAAAAGGCAATCCACACAGAAACAGCCCAGCCATCCGGCAACCTTAATAATCTCTCTCTATAATACAGATTAATTAGATTATTTTTCATCTATTGCTGTTTGAAAAATGCCGACTTTAATTCGCACACTGTAAAAAGTTCACGATTTTGCTTTCACTCACAAGGATGAAGCTGGGGTTGTTTCTGTTCCTCCAGCTGAAGGATGGCACGCTGATTTCTGGGTACTTGTTGTCATGGAGAACCTCACATCCGCTGTGGGTGTGTCCGCTGAGGATGAGGCGGGGCTTAAACCACTGCAGCAGCTGAGGAGAGAAACCCATAACCGCTTCAGAGGCTGGTTGCTGCTCCCTTACATCACCAGTTTCATCATCACCATCATCATCACCATCGTCGGCCGTTTCTATACGAGACTATTTCTGACGGCGGGCTGTTGTTTGCCGTTTTAATTGGATGAAAACACTTCAGAACAGATCTGCGCTTTGAGAGAAAAGGAAAGAAAAAAAAGAGACAGACAGCGGAGGCGGTGTGGTGAGACTGCAGAGTACTCACTCTCTGTGAGGCCTCCTTCGACAGCACGTCGTACTTCTCTCTGAACAGCAGGTGTCGCTCTTCAGGCGGCGCGGCGTCCTGTCCTGTGCAGCCAGCGTCACTCACTCTGTACAGAGGATAGTGCTGCAGAACAGAGCACACAGTCAGGGAAACGTGCATGGATTCGGATTTTTCATGGAAGAACAGGAAACAGGCTGAGGGGCAGCTCAGTAACAGCATTTCTGGTGTCAAGTTTTTCACCCAGCCACGTAATTCCCCTATCAAACTGTTCATAAATACATCTGCAGTGATCCACGTGTCTAAACAGCCCTTTGCACAGGGAACATGGAGAATAACCACGTTCCCCAAAGTTTCACGATGCCAGACATGGTTCTCCTGCCACTCTGCGTTTCACTGGACTTGAACGTGTAATTCTTCCAGATAGAGCGGGCAATCCGTCAAAGTCGCTGTCACAGAGAGAGTACTGAATCGTAACACTCAACACACCATGACACTCATGACACCTTCTGGACTGAATGATGATTTTAGTTGAAAGGGCTTCCTCTGAAGGAAGTTTATATAAAGCATGGATCCCAGAGTGTGCGGCGTAACCTCGGTCAGAAGTTTCAATCTGTGTCATGTGACTAATTAAACCAATCACCTGCTAAAATCTTGTATATAAATTACAGGACGCTTTTCTCATTTATCTACTTAGTGCCTCTTTATCTCCTCTGTCCTCTCTATCCCGCCTGTGACTCAGGAATCAATCTCAGCACACAATGATGAAGGATGTCTCTGTCCCTAAAATGCATTGGAGAGCCAGAGGAGGCTTGCTGGAGGAGCTATAATCCTTGGATGCACACGCGGAAGTGTTTCTTTGCCTGTTGTGTATAAAAGATTCATGCACGCGCTTGGAATATACTGCAAAAAGAAAGGCTCTTTAAACAGCTATCCTCTTTATATGCAGTTTCAGTTATTTAAGTACATCAAACCTTCCTGTGTGCGATTAAGAAAAGCGTCTAATATCTTGTCACACTGTTGCACTGTTACATTTACGATCATAAAATACAGCAGCAGTCGGCTAAATAAAAGGAATTTATGATGTGGTTGTGCCAACATCAGATTTAATTGGCATCACTTTAAAATGAACCACAGAGGCGAGGATGTCTCATTTTGTCAAATGACTGCTGCCTCGACTCCTCTCTTCTCGTGTCTCCCTATCGCCTCCTCCAATCTCTGTTGGGAGGGACTATGAAGCGAGGAGAGGAATCGAGGATGTATCAACTGAGAGATGTAAATGGGAGGTTTTTTAATCATGCTCTCCTTTGTTCGTTGAAATAGCCAAAAAAAACGAGACTTGTAAAGTTTCTCAGGTGTTACCTTCTTACCTGTTCAACTTTGGAGCTACAAAACTTTGGTTTAGCACTACAGATGACCATAATAGGATAGTGCATTGAACTAGACTGAGAGACGCACAATATTGCTAAAAGTTTTCACTCATCTGTCTTCACACACATATAAACTTGAGTGACATCACATCCATAGGGTTTAATATGATGTCGGACCCTTTGCAGCTTAAACATGAGGTTTAGGGGTGAGTTCATTGGAATTTTTGATCATTCTTCTAGAAGCACATTTGTGAGGTCAGACAGCCATACAGACAGGTGTTCTATGGGGTTGAGTTCTTCCACACCAAACTCGCTCATCCATGTCTTTATGGACCTTTGTGCAATGATGCGCAGTCGTGTTGGAACAGGAAGGAGCCGTCCCCATGCACAAAACTGTCCAAAATGTGTTGGTATGCTGAAGCATTAAGAGTTTTTTAAGAGCCCCACACCATAATCCCCCCTCCACCAAACTTTACACTTGGCACAGTGCAGTCAGACAAGTACCGTTCCCCTGGCAACCACCAAACCCAGGCTCATCCATCGGATTGCCAGATGAAGAAGCGTGAATAGTCACTATGCTCTATATCACTGCATGATGTAAGGCTTGGATGCAGCTGCTCGGCCACGGAAACCCATTCCATGAAGCTCTACACACTGTTCTTGGGAAATCTAACATCCACATGGAAGTCTGTAGCGACCAGTGTTGGTCAAGTTACTTGAAAAAAGTAATCAGTAACTAATTACTGATTACTTCCCCAAAAAAGTAATCCCGTTACTTTACTGATTACTT